GAGGACATGATGGAGCAGGAAGATTGAGTCTGGGGAAGAAGAGAGGAGAGCAAGAAAAGAGATACCTTAATAGAGGGAGCTATTATAGGTTTAAAGAGAAATCTGGCACTAGGGAAATGTCCAGATATCTACAAGGATGACCCCCAATTAAGAATCTAAGCAATAGTGGAGAGGCTACCTTAAATGCCCTTCCCTGATTATGATATTGATGACTACTTTATATGTCATCCTAGAAACTTTATCCAGTAGCTGATGGAAGCAAAAGCAGAGATCCACAGCTAAACACTGAGCTGAATTTCTGGAATCCAGTTGTAGAGAGGGAGGAGTGATGAGCAAAGGGGTCAAGACCAGGCTGGAGAAACCCCCAGAAACAGTTGACCAGAACAAGGGGGAGCTCATGGACCCCAGACAGATAGCTGGGAAACCAGCATAGGACTGAACCAGACCCCCTGAACATGGGTGTCAGTTAGGAGGCCTGGGCAGTTTATGTGGCCTCTGTCAGTGGATCAGTATTTATCCCTAGTGTACAAATGAATTTTTGGAGTCCATTCCACGTAGAGGGATACTCTCTCAGCCTAGACATGTGGGGGAGGGCCTAAGCCCTGTTCCTAATGATGCGACAGACTTTGAAGATCCCCTATGGGATGCCTCACCCTCCCTGGGGAGCAGAAAGGGGATGGGATGGGGGGGTTGGTGCAGGGCAGGGGAGAAGGGGAGAGAAAGGGAACTGGGATTGACATGTAAAACAGGCTTGTTTCTAATTTAAATAAAAAAGGGGGAAAAAAGAATGATGCATCAAGTACAAGGACAGGGTACAGAATACACTCTGGTAGTCATCACATTGTGGATGGCCAGGGAGAGGTATAAATAGAGGTTTCTCTCCTGCCGGCCAGTTCTTGCATAAGCACTCAGAGGCTTAATATTAATTGTAATTGGCCAATGGCTCAGGCATATTACTGAGTAGCTCTCACAATTAAATTAACCCTTCTTTTTTTCTAATCTGTGTATCATCATGTGGGCATCTTACTCATTCGGCAGCTACATGGCATCTCCCCGACACCCCCTTCTTAGTCTCCGTATCTCTGTTTGGATTTCCCACCTAGCTATAGTCTGCCCTGCCCTAGGCCAAAACAGCTTTATTCATCAACCAAGAAAAGCAACACATACTCGCAGCGTACAGAAGGACGTCCCACATCAGATAGGTGATGTCTGCGGTGTGGGAGAACAGAAGGCCATTGGGAAGTGGTGAATGTGGAGTGTGGCGACAGAAAATTCCTTTTAGAGTCTGGAGAGGTGGATTAACGGCACTTGTTGTTTGGGTTCCCAGGCTCCCATATCAGGTGGCTCACAACCACCTGTAACTCCAGCTCCAGGGGATCTGATACCTTCTGCTAGCCACACACACACACACACACACACACACACACACACTTTGAGACAAACACAGGTGAGTGCTCTCTCACCTGGCTTTGTTTGACTTCTGGGCATCTGAAGTAGATGGAAGTCGTGTGGGGGGGGGGTGTTACCTTTTAATAGGCAGAATCCGTTGCTTTGCCAGCTGAGCCATTTCCTTGCGCTGACATTGCACACACATGGGTACATGCAGACAAAATACTCACACTCATAACATACAGCAAATCTTTTATATAAAAAAACAGCCTTGCACGCAATGAATAAATTTAGAAGCGTAAAATAGTGATTTATTTGAAACAAAACATGACACTTAGCCCTCACTGTTTCATGCAAGTGTCGGCATCACGGAAACTAAAAGAATTCAGGAGAAGCCAAGAAACGTAGATGACTCAACCTAAAGGAACACTGTGCTCTGTGCAGCACATGCTTTCAAGGGGTGGCTTGCAAGAACACTCTTGACTTAGAGCTCCTGATGTGAGATGCCCAAATGCTTACCTCATCATCTCTGAGTATCACAGAATGGAGTCAAAGGGAATTCGGTCGCTGGTGATAATTCAAGAGACACATTGAGCCTGGGCGATATGACTCATGAAAATGCAATGAACTCAGGGCAGCCTTCCAGAAGCTTCCTGGTATGGCTCCTGCTTACCTTTCCCATCTCTCTCTCTCTGCAGCCTTCGGCTTTGTTCTGAGGATATAAGGACATTCACAGAGGGTGCTGCTGCCCCGTGTCTCCAAGACTGAGGGCACTGTTCCGAACACAAGAACGCACAGTAGGTGTCCATCACATAAGTAGCTGGATCCACGGAAACTTGAGCACTCGATACAAACTTGAACCCAAATGATATTCTCTTATTTGTACCATAAAGGACAGCATTACAGTGATGGGAAGGAATTAAAATGGCTAAAATGTAGCACGAGTTCCTTGCATAATTAAGACACACACCCAGCGTTCACAGTTTGTGTGGTTTGCCGTTCTAGAGATTTCAGTTCTCGGTTTCTTAGCCCCCCTGCTTTGGACCTGTGATGGCACAGTCCATCATAGTGCAAGTATCTGAAAGAGGAGACTCTTCACCATGTAATGGCCTGGAAGCTAAAAGAAAGACAGGAAGGGGCCAGGGTCCCGGTGTTCTCTTAAAGGATGTGCCCCGCAATGACTTCACTGTCTTCCACTAGATCCCACTGCTTTAATAGTTCCACTACCTCCAAAAGGAGCCACAGGCTGACGACCAAGCCTTTAAAAACATGGAACTTTGGGGGACACTTCCAAACCACCTTCAGCCAGCTTTACCAGCTCCCCTCATTTGTGTCTGGCTGGCCTTCCCTGGGAGCGTGTTTTTAATCAATCTGTCCCTCACGCACATTCCTCGTCTCTAAGATCCTGACTGACATAAAATCTGGTAACAAATCTCAAAGACTTTTTTTAAAAAAGTTATTTATTCTTTGACAATTTCAAGCATTTTGATGACATCTTCCTCTACCTTCCCCCTCCCAAAGGCCAAATTCCTACAAACAAAAGCACAGTCAGGCCTATCATAGCAATACTCCAGTCCCTGGGTACCAACTTCTGTCTTAGAGATTCTCCGTAGACATCCTTCATGTCTCCCTCCTAACTTTACTTCTTCCTCCTCTTCCCCTTCTATAATCACTGATTGAGTCCTGTTAGGGCTGCCTGGGTGTGCAGGGGTGTGGGGCTGGCCAACCACAGGAGCATGGGCAACTTACCAGAGTCCACACCCCTATCAGGGAACTTTTAGCCAAGTTGACTTTGACTTGAATGATACTCCCACTCTTCACCGGAAGGCTGTCCCTTTTGAGTCTAGAAACTGCTTTATTTCACAGGTGTTCTTGGGATCTTGAGGGGAACGCGGCTGTTTTTATAAGAAGCCGCCCAGCCCTGGCATGGCAGTAAGTTTGACTGGTTGATCTCACATTACCCACTAAATGAAGCCAAAACAAGCATTATCAAATGTTTAGATTTACTGGAGCCTCTGGCTTCAAGTAGCCTGATGATTCATTCCCAAACAGCTCACAAAGCAAGCCTCTGGCTGTATTACGGCCGGCTGTGAGCTTTGTGGCAGTGGGAAGGGTTTCCCTGTTTTATTTTTAATCTAACGACACAAGCAACACTAGCCACAACCAATTAAAATGAGTAGAGTTAACATTCAAAATGGCTACAGTCCAGATGACAGAATGGAAGTCATCAGAGCCATTTCATCTTCTAGAAGATTTATCACTATGTTAACCAGAGCCTTTCATGTGGGTTTCTGCCACAATCCTTCATGCACACTCACAGAAGGAATCTGGAGTTTGTGGGAATGACATAGCACCATCAACATGGATTTGTGCAATACAAGGGGTGCTTGAGGCTGAAGGGTTGGCAGGACCGTCTTGCTTTGCCATAGGGATCTGATAGTCATAGTTGGTGACAGGAACATGGTGCATGGTCACTACTGCTTTGTACTCAGTATTTTCCTTCTTAGCTTTGTCTTAGGGTTTCTATTGCTAACCCAGACTCCCAAAGGCCAAATTCCTACAAACAAAAGCACAGTCAGGCCTATCATAGCAATACTCCAGTCCCTGGGTACCAACTTCTGTCTTAGAGTTTCTATTGCAGTGAAGAGACACTATGACTATGGCAACTCTTATAAAGTAAAAAAACATTTCATTGGGGTGGCTTACATTTTCAGAGGTTTAGTCTGTTGTCATGGTGCGACAAAAAGTGGTATGCAGGCAGACGTAGTGCTAGAGAAGGAGATAAGAGTCCTATATCTTGCCCAGTAGGCAAGAAGAAATGGTCTGTGATACTGGGCATACATAGCTTGAGCATAGAAGACCTCAAGGTCTGCCCCTACAGTGATACACTTCCTCCAAGAAGGTCACACCTCCTATTAATACCACTCCAAATGAGCTTATGGGGGCCAATTATATTCAAACTACGACAGCTCTTACCTCTTTCTTAGCCATGACACCTTGTCTTTTCTTCTACTTTTGTCCCAGATATTGCCCCAAGCTCTGTCTAGATTTCTCAAGAACCATTCTCCCCCTTGAAAGCTCAAGCTGTCTTGATGTCTTACCTTCATGTACTGAAAGCCTGAGGCACAGTCCTGCATAGGCAGTCTAGCCTGGCCAGAGGACAGCAGCTTTACTATTTCATGCCTTAATTTCTTTCTAGTTTCTCCAACAGCAAGTACAGGAATACATTCTTTATGTTCATGAACTCTGAGTGGTGTGAGTGGTGTGTGTGTGTGTGTGTGTGTGTGTGTGTGTGTGTGTGTGTGTGTGTGCAGGGGGCCATAGGTCACCTTTGTGTGTCTTCCTCTATCACTCTTCACCTTACTTTTTGAGACAGAGTCTCCTACCGGACCTAGGTCTCACCATTTCAGCTAAACTGGACAGCCAAAGAAACCCTGGAATCTGCTTGCCTCGTCATTCCCCTTCCCAGTTCCCCAGTGCTGGAATCACAGCTGTATGCCACCACATCAGGATTTTTATGCTCATGAACTTTTAAGAAACACTACAGAGAGCTGAATCTAGTTGGTTCAAGCATTCCATTTTCAGTGCAATGTATTTTTAGTTAAAGGGGGTTTCAGAAGAAAATTATATCTTTATTTGGGTTTACAGGGAGTCATGCTTGTCCAAAACAATTGAATACTACACAATGCCCTAAAGAGACATTGAAGAACAATCTGGACATGGTTTGACCAATTTGACCAATGTTTTTCCTATAATAAATATACCCCCAAACATACTACTTTTGAAGAAAAATGAAGTTACTCAATGCTCTGACTTAAAATTACTTCCACCAGCTACAGATTTAGATCATTAGCCTTGAAATGTCTTTACAAGCTACAGAGCATGGGATTATTGTGTCAAAAAAAGTTTCTAATAATCTACACAAGCCAGGAAGACTTAGCTTTGTAACTGTATATAGTACTATGCATTGGCTGTTTGACCCAAGAAGCTTATTGAATTGATGGGACTTAAGAAACTACACAACATTTATATAAAATGGGACCAGAGTTGATAACAAGTCATTCTTGCAGTTAATCCATTCCATAGTATATGTTGCTTGTTCCCTATTGGATATGCAGGCTTAGATCTGTTTATACCACCAAGGCAGATTGCTGGTCTTACTGTCTGTTGCTGCCTAACCATGCTAAACGCTGTGGCATAAAGTTATGTTCATGGATTTAGCAGGTTGAAGACTTGGTTGATCTCTGTTCCAGGGTATCTGGGGCCTTGTCTGGGAGGACTGACTAACTGGGGCTGGGAAGATTACATTCAAGATGGCTTCTTCACCCACACGACTGGTACTAAGTTCCGTGGCCTTTCCATGTGGCTCAGGCTTCTCGAGAATGAAAGGTGCCTAGAGGAAGCATCTTCAAAGGAAGCATTCTGACAGTGAGTGAGACCTCCAAGAGAACCAGGTGGAAGCTGTGTGGCTTGTTCTGACATAGCCTGAAAAGCAATATAGAACCACTTCTATGAGACCAAGGGGTCCAGTCAGTCATCAGCCCACGGAATTTGATGGGTGGAGCCACTGTCATACTTTGAAACCACCCTTATTATGTTTTTTTTCCAAGTCATAAAAACACATGAACTCGAATTTTGAATCCTGATTCCTCCATTTCTGAGTGACTGACCTTAGGCAAGTTCATGACCTCTTCCAGTGCTGTACTAATGCAAGTGATCACATTTGACGCAAATGGCACAAGTCCATGTTCGAGCACATGGGGTCCATAAGCAGCTGGTTAATTCTAATCTCCTACCTATTTTTCTTTTTTAAAAAAAGTATGGCTTCAGCAAAATATAACTGGTATAATAAGATACATGTGTGTAGGGCTAGAGAGATGGCTTAAGAGTTAAGAGCACATATTACTCTTACAGGGGACCCAAGTTCAGCTCCCAGCATCCAGCGCATCAGGTGGCTTCATAGCTGCCTATAACTCCAACTCCAAGAGGTCTGATGCCCTCTTCTGGTCTCCATGGGTTCCTCATCACATAGCACACACACACACACACACACACACACGGAAGGAGTGCATACCCATACACACGGATGTGTAATATGCATAACTAAAAATTTAAAAATCTAAAAGAAAATGTGTGTGTGTGTTTGTAAAGCTGATTATTAAACCCAGAGCCTTGTGCACACTGGGCAAGCACTCATATACCAGCCTAAAGTATGTGCAGTTTAATAAAGCTGACATAAGTATTTGCCCATGGATATGAACCAAGCAAGCATCCCTCAAGTACTCCCAAGTTTCATTGTGTCCTTCCCTACTCTCTCTTCTTCATTCCTCCAAGCTTTCCTTATTCCCAGGAGACCACTAAATAATCTGCTCCCTCTCACTAAAAATTAGCTTCCATATTCTAAGGTGGTACAGGGATGGACTCCCCTGTCCAGTGTGTCTCCCCCCCACCCCCCACCTGACTTCCTTCTCTCTGTGTAACTACTGTAAGGCTTTCATGTTGCTTCTTTCATCAATTTCTTACTCCTGGTGAGGGTTATTCTGTTGTACCCATACACCAAATCATTTTTATCTGCCCACCGTCTTCCCCTTTTCCTCTTGTGCCCTAATCATGTTTACCTCCTTCTTAAGGCAGAACCTCAAGCCTATTTCTGTAATCTAAGAAGCTCTGTTCTCACAGACGTCATTCAAGTGTCCTCATTCAAGTGTCAGTGACACACACCTTTAATCCCAGCACTCAGGAGGCAGGGGCAGGTGGACTCTGTGAGTTCGAGACCAACCTGGTCTAGAAGAGCTAGTTGCAGGACAACAGTCTCTAAAGCCACAGAGAAACACTGTCTCGAAAAACAAAACAAACAAACAAAAAAAGATATTGTTCAAAGGTGCACTCTTAGGCACTGTCCCCATCATGGCTGGGTTCCCACCGCATTGAGGCTACCTACTACATCAGACTCCCTAGCTGGCCTCCCTCTTGGCCCAGCTAGAATTCTGAATTCTCCAAGAGGGAAGCCTCTTGGGACACCTGCTCTTGGGACATCTGGACAGGAGCCCCTTGCTCTTCAAAGAGAATGTAATGGGATTCTAGATCATGGAGCTCCCACATATCATGAGTTCTGTTCTTTCTATTGATGTCTCACCACGGTGTCAAAATTAGTGAGGTCAGGATAGTGAGAAGGGAAAGGACACTTTCAGCCTGACCTTTTCTTTTTCTTTTTTTCTTTTTTTGCCATCTCTCAGTACAGGATCCACATCAACGTCAGCCCAACAGCAGTCCATTCATCACCCAAACCAAGGAAGACACAGCAGAGTCCCAGTGCGGGAGGGAGTGGACCTGAGTATGACCACAACGTGTTACGGAGAACTCTTTCTTGTGACTTTGCTATTCCTCATCTGCCTACACTAGGTTCCCTCCTGACCTTCTTACTGTCTGCATACAAGAGGCAGACAACCTCCCAGGAGCACACCATAGTCTACTGTCTCTCTCCTCAGACTCTGCCAGAGTAGCCTCTATTGCACACAGAGTGGAATTTAAAGTTCCCTTACGAGATCACGTAACCATCCCTAGCACTGTCTCAGATCGCTTCAGTTTCTTTTCTGCTCCTCGGAGCAAACCGAGCCTGTGATGCTCTTGCAACAGACCAGGGTCCTGAGCTTGAAAGGGTCCTACATGTGCTTCTGCACTCTGCTATTTCAAATGTTTGATAATTCGGGGGGACAAGAGGCCTCTCTTTTTCCTCTTGCACCAAGCTTTTCAAGTGATGTGATGAGTTCTAACTCCAGCCATCTAGTTTCCACATCTGCAAATGGCTGGCTGGGTCCATAGCCATTTTCTGCTTTAGGACCCAAAGGGTCACCATGTCTTTCCCCAGGCAAAAACAAGCAAACATTTCTTAGATGGTTGTGCGACTGCTTCTCTCTCAAGGTCAAATATCTCCCCATCAGTGAACTCTTCTTTGACCTTCATGTGGATAGAATCAATTGTCTGTACTCTCCCACAGTCATCAGCTGCTTGCATTCCTTTGTCAAAACACCTGTCTCTTCCTGGCTTTATGCTCCGCATATGCTCCTTAACCTCAGATGAGGCTATGTCCCAAAACACCCGCTGCAAGTTGAGGATATTGTGCCAAAAGTGCATTTTTTTTGTGCATCTAACCTACAGACTTCATAGCCTCACCTCCCCAATTGTGCCCAGAACATGTGTATTCACCTACAGTTGGGCAAAAATCACATCATGCAACTCAGAAACTAGAATGCCATCAACATTTCGCCTCTATCCCCGTCATCCTCACACCCTACATCGTGGTCTCCAAACTTCAAGCCTGAGGGAGCCACGCTTTGGATGTTTTGTGGCTTATTCTCTGTGCATTAAAGCAAAACTACATTTATACTTACACACACATTTTAATAATGTATCAGACACAACATTTGTTGTTTAATACTTTAAAGGATGTATTTAACATATTATAACATGTTTAATGGTTTAGATATATGCAATTTGCTTTAATTCAATGTATTTTTTTAAATGAATGGCCTTTATGTTTTCTCAAGGGTTAGGCTATTTCCATCCAGTACCAAGGTTCATGATGCTGTGGTGATTTTCCTGTATTTGTTTAGAAGTGGGAACTGAGTTTAATACCAGGACCAAAGCCTTCTGTGTCAGTTGGTGCAGAATTTACTGAATCTGGCCCTGAGGTGACCCAGCAGCAGAGAGAGGGCCGCCTTCCACTCCTCCTTCACACAGGGAGCAGAGAGCACACACGGCCTCTTCCTGGACCGCCTTTCCCTCACACACCCCACCTGTGCTCCCAGCAGAGTTTCTCGCCACCCACCTCGCAAGGCTGCTTGCTCCCCCACCTGTACAAACACAGGGCTTCCTGTCACCACGTGGCCAACAGTGCAAGGCTGCGGATGGGAAGCTTCGAGTTTTTAATTTCCTAATGAGGGTTGTAGACCTGGAAAACAGCTGCTGTCCCAGGGGCCACAGCACAATGTAATTCAATCGCGCTTTTATGATTTCTGTCTTGTCCTCTGCAATTTCCCACAAACCTGAAACATGTGACTCTCCTCTGCCCATCTTACCACCGCAAGACTGAGCGCACAGGGAGGCTCAGCACGGGAGGCTTTTGCTTCAAATCTCAGTGGAAGATAATAGACTACAGAGTTATTTACACAATGGTGGTATGACCAGGACCTTGGGATGCAATGATAACCCGGCCAACTTAGAATCTCCTACATTCTCTGCCTCTGCAGTTATTAAAAATACCAAGGTATCACAGTGTATTTTGAACACGGATCTTGAAGACAGGGTAAAAGTGAGTTTGATTCCTACCTGTCATTTGTATGACACTGGATCTCTCCATAAGACAGTCAGGCAGCTACTTCATAAAAAAACGGTGAGAATTAACTGAGTTAAGATGGAATGGCAGAGTTCATACTGTGCTCCCGGGAGTACAGCTGTGGTTAATTGATAGCCTTGGGCTGTGCTCGCATGCCCTCCCCCTGGCCTACTGCAGCTCCCCAGTCCCCAGTCAGCTCTCCACTCCAATCCACTCTGATCTGTCACCCACCAGGGTTGAGTCATCCTGCAGCCCTATCTGCACACAACATCACATCTCCTTCCCTCCCTAACTGCACCCACACCCCTAAACACGACAGAAAGCATCCGTGGTTTCCCAATGCCTTCGAGATGTCCAAATCCTTGAAGTTGGCATTGAAGTTTGGCTACAAATGTATAATTACTTATAACCCACTCGCAATGCCCTTTTCTCTTCCCTAGACCCAGACACTGCACTGCAGGCTGCCTCATTACTGACATGCTCCCTCTTCACGCTAGATACTCTCTCCTCTACACCCACGCTTACATTGTTCCCCTGTGGACCCTGCGGATTCCCTCCTCTGCGTCAGTATGCATTCCATCTCTTATTTGAGGGGTTCACATAGTCCCACTCACTACTCTCCCCCTTCCCTTCTGTGGGCTGTTGCGTGTGTACCATCTTGTTTTGCCCTAGTTGCTGTCTGTGCAGCAGTTAGTCCCTAGCAGAGACCCTAGAGAATGTGTTCAGAAATATGTGGCAATAACTACAAGTATAAAAGCATACACTTCAGAAATATTATCCTCTAGAATGGTTTTCAATTACAATTCAACTCAGATCAATTCCTTCCACACGATTTTGAAATGTCAATGTGCGTGTGTGTGCATGTGTATGTGTGGTGTGTGTGTGTGTGTGTGTGTGTGTGTGTGTGTGTAATTTGGGAGCTGCATTCACTAGTCAGATTTTCTTTAGCTTCAAGCGGGCTAGTCGTCTTAACTCCCATTTCCTTGGCTCCCCTCAACTGGTAAGTCCTCATCAACCACATTACGAGGCATGCCAAGGGAAGTTGTCTTCCCAGAATTCCCTGTCACTAGGGGGAAGGCACTCTGGGTGTGTTGGCAAAGAAGGACATTGGGGTGGGGGCTCTGTTAAAGCTCTAAGTATGCCTGTTTAG